CCCCCCCCGGCCCTAAAGGCCTGATATGAGAATATTTAAATGGCAGATAATGTAACAAAAGGGCAGGTGCAGTTTCAAACAGAAACAATTTTTTGTAATTTTCCAAGGTTTTAGAAGTTGTCACTCTAATAAACATCCCCTTGACATAACGGCCCAAGTTTTTATGCTTATCTTTCACTCATTGCAAATTCTAGTTTTTGTAAATCATTTTAACCTTCTTACCTCTCTCCCAATACTCCCACTTAGTATCTCTTTAAGGATTTATCATTCAGAACTCAGAACTTCTTCTTTGTTTTTTCTTTCTTTGTTGCATTTTATGATTCGTAATAGCAGTGTTAAAGCAAACAAATACTTTGTGTCAGGAGGGGTAGGGGGGATTGTCATCATTTGTTTTTAAAAAGAATGTGTTCTTTTTAAATGGTCAGATAAATGACCCTCATTTCAAAGTTTATTTAATGCAACTATTTTTCATAAAACTGCCTTTTTTATAAATAGATTTAAATCAAAATCTTATCTTTTCTTAAAATATTCTTAAATTTTATTATTTTAAGACTAATTTAAGGGTAATGCAAGTTATAGTTAAACAAAGACGTCTCAATTCTTACAAGCTAAATATATCGATGCTGCAGACGTTTATGTTATATTCCTAGTTCTACACAAGGATTTAATGTCAGGAAAGTTATTTCAGAGGTGTACGCATCTTTTGTACTGCAGTGTACTGTCACTGATGTTGAATCCTGACATGAGATCCATCTTTCACAAAAATAATCAATGAAATATTCTGGTCATAGGAAACTATTATGTAATTTATCAAAATTATCAAAATTCAATGCTTTTAACCTCCTCGGATACTAAACGAACACTAAGGCATCTATATTCTTGTTTACAAATTCCGCCCGGAGAGAACTGGTTTCAATATGTACGCAGAGTATACACAACTGCAATTAACTTTCCTTGCATTACATCCTTGGTTGTACACAAATACATTACCCTGTTCAGACTTTCCCCCCCCCCCCCCCTCCTCGTAATGCGAATCCGATTTGTCTGAATTGTTGAAAATCCGCGAGTGTTTTTTTAAAAATAGTTTGATAAATATAATTTGAGTTGGATAAAGAGATTCAAGTACTTTCCTTTAATGACGTACTTACTAAAATTATGCTTTTAACAGAGAGGGTGTCTCGATTTTTTTAAACGCTAAAGAAAAAACACGCAATAATTCGTCTTTTATTTAGTTGATTTAAAAATCAAAGACAGTTGAAAGAAGTGTATTTTTTGACACGCTGATTTTAGTGTATATACTTAGATAGCTGCATGGATTGCAAAATTCAAGGTTATTATACACAACTGCAAAGCATCATAAAGATTTAAATCTTTATCTCCAAACTTAAATCTGCATGGAGTTGGAGAAAAGATTGAATGGAATGGGGGGGGGGGGTGGTACCACGTGTACATCGAAGGGCTTACATGTGGAAATTCAAACTGATTTAAAATCGATAAACAAATTTTTACTTGTAAATTAAGGGAAGTATAAAAGTCTGGAAAACATCATGAGAAAGGAAAACTATAATAGCTTGACTAAAATTATGTGACAAAATTGAGAGACAAGAGTAGAATAGGATTAAGATGACAAGGATTGCCATTTACATTAAAGCATAAAGGATTAAGTGGAGAAAGGATATCATGTATATAAAGGAAAAGGAGTAAAGGATTAAGTGGAGAAAGGATATCATGTATATAAAGGAAAAGGAGTAAAGGATTAAGTGGAGAAAGGATATCATGTATATAAAGGAAAAGAAGTAAAGGATTAAGATGAGAAAGAATAACATGTATATAAAGAGTAAAGGATTAAGATGGGAATGATTAACATGTACATACAGGTTTTGAATGATAATTGTTAATATTTGCATAGTAAGGAGAGATATAAAGAGATTAGAAGAAATAATACGATGTTCACGTGGATTAAGCTGAAATTCAGGAGCTATTCACGTGAATCCGTGAGAGAGAAAAATCGATTTCTGAAACTGAGATTGTTTGATAAGAAATAGGTTTGTTGATAACAAACAGATGTGTTGATCACATTTAATTGTTTGATAACAACTAGATTTGTTGATAATTATTAAATGTTTGATAACTAATTATTATTTATCAAAAAATAAAAACCATTTGCTAAAAAAACACATTTTCATTTGTTATTTGTTAAAGAGTGAAGTGAATGAGGAGTAGAAACTAAAGACCCCATACCACATACCACAAACTAAAGGAGGAGGGGGGGGGGGATATACATAAACCTTGAATCCAAGGACTAAGGTTGGTTTAGAGAATCTGGAAGGTTTAAGGTCAACACCCTTCTAAGCTTTAGATCAAGCCCTACTCCCAGGGCTTAGAACCTCCCTTTTAATTTATACCCAACAGAGCATACAATATTATTAAATCCTACAAAGGACTTGAGTTTTTGCCACAGACTCAAATTTTAGAATTCCTATATCTTTACAACCTGATGGAGTAAACCTTTGAAATTTCATTCTTAGGTTATTTGTTCCAACAGTATTTCTAGATTGAAATATATAAGGTCTACAAACTAGGTTGCAAAGATATAGGGATTATAAAATCAAAGTTTGTTACAAAGATTCAATTCCTTTTAAGAATAAATTTAATTGAATTCGCACATTGGCTTTCTACCACTCTGTGTACTAATAAGTTACATAAGAGTTAATTTATATTTGTATACATTTGTAATTTGTATTACAATATATATACTTAACTTATTCAACTATAGCAGTGCAATATATTAAAACAATCTGAATATGTATAGATCTCGGGTCTGGAAAATTTTCTTTTTAGTTTTTATTAATAGAAATTCTTAGCTGTTATCAAATTAATAAAACAAGACATTCATTCATATATATGTTGCTTTGCGCATAGCCGGCCATACGGCTGGACCAATTGGGCTCACATTTTTTGTGGACACTCAAGTATGGCCGGGGGGTGTTATAGGCTGAACAAATTTTTTTAAAAATTTCAACTTTTATTAAATTTTTATTTTTATAGAATACTTTTAATATTATAAACTTCCTTATCTTAAAATTAGTTTATCCCCTGCTAGTCCCCTCCCTCAAATAAATCTCTTAAAAAAGTATTGACGATTTTAAGGTTTAGAACCTAATTCGTACTTTGAACCGTTGTACTATTTGAACCGTGTATCCCCCCCCCCTCTCCAACTTCCTAAGTGGGTCAGGCAGGGTGCAACACCCCCTAGTCATCGACATGATGCAATTATAATGTTGCAAACCTTTAAGCCTGGATTAACAGTTAGAAGTATTTATTGTACACTATTTCTCCAAAAAAATTAACTTTATCATTTTTGCGTAAATATACATTAGATAAATTGATATTTAACGATGTTATTTAAGTCTAAAAATTGCAAGTAGAGTCAAATCATAAATACGTACAAAATAAATATTTAATTAATAGCTATAACTTGCAAAATAACAATATAGCTATACTTTAACTTAATTCACATTTTGTTCACGTTAATATTGTTATATAAATATATATTTTCAGATATAAACTCTGTGTTATAAAAACCCTAGCATAGCATGTTGCAATATCAACGGTTTTTAGAATTTTTAAACAAAATATTTCACCATTTTCTTAAAAACTAAAACTTAATTTGCAATTTTATAAAATTGTATGTCAAAAAGTTAAGAAAGTCTAAAATGCTTTGTGTGTAAATATATATGTATATATCTATATCAATCTGATCTTTGCTACGTTGTTCCCGTGGCGGGGGATTATAGACGACTAAACCAAATATCTGCTCGAACCCTCCGTCTAATACGTCGTTCAATAACCTTTCTAAATCTAACAAACAAATCCGAGAATATCGAGAATTGGGGTAAAAATCAACAAGAAAATTAGAAAATTAGATAATTTAGAGTATTTCCAGTCGTAGAACAGAACTGACACATCTTTAAACTTATTTTTTGGGTTCGCAATAAGAATGATTAAATTGGGTGCATTGAACGGTAAGGGTGAACATCCCTTGTCGGCCCTGCCCGGTATATTTGACGTAAAACAGCTGATCGCGCTCCAACGTTCATCTGTGTAAATTTGACGCGTACCGTCTTCCTAGATTTCTATAAGACGCGACTCGACTGTATGAAATGCCAATGACTGGGAGCGAGGTGTAACGGTTCGTACTGTAAGTCCTCTCAGACCTTGAATTGCAACTGGCTGCCAGCCGCCAGGCTTCATTCAGACCAGTACACAAAAAGGCCTGGTCCCCCTTACAATTTTCCCTCGACTAGACTGTGAAGGCGATTCAGTACGGATTTTGCCGGTGTCCAGCATGAAGCGGACTCTTGATTGGGGCGGACGATCGACCCTAAAGTTTTAACCATTTTAACACTATATTTGACATAAAAACAATGTTAAAACATTAAACATTATTAGATGACAAACATTAAATACGCATTTTGGTCTTAAATGTAAGGGGGTAACGGCAATAAAGGTTATTTCCTCTTGAATGTCGTCTTTCTTTCAAATCATCAAACAATTAATATTTACTCGAGACATAGATAATTTTTAATGTGTTTTTCAAATAATAAATACATTAGTAAATATCTGAAATTGTCATACATTGCTTTTTATGTCTAACATTAGTTAGAATATGCTAAAATGGTTAAAACTTTAGGAGAGTCCGCCCCATGCAAGAGTCCGCTCCATGCATGACACCGGTTTTAAAGAAATTGCAGATTTTCGCAAAGTCTCTCTGCGAAGTTTATAA